CCGAAACGTCAGACATCTAATAAGTCTCCCCCGATGAACGCTCTTCTTTCTTCTGATTTACCACCTGGGGAATCGCATTCTCACCGCTATTTCAATCCCGCTTTACATGAGGAGATGTATAGCATGCAGCTGAATAATGCTAGAAGAGAGTTTGCAACTTCTATTTCTGCCATCCGTCTCCGGTCCACCGCTTCTCCCAGAAATGCGTGGTTTGGCGGATTGTGTGCTCCCGCTTTTTGCACTTTTTGGAATCCAAACATCGCAATCAGATGGCCAAGACAAATTATGTGAGACTTACAGGATTAAGGTGAAAACCAGACAAATCCATGGCGTTTTTGATTCTAAGCTACCGGAAACGGATTAGCATCCACAACTTTTTACAAACTGTGATCCTCATGTTTTTAAACTGATTTGTCTTTCGAAAGATCACTGTCGATTAGCGATTTAGGTCTTGATAAGAGCGGTTTCGGAAAGATTGAATTCTTGAGAAAATGCCAACCAATACTTGGGTTATCTTCCTTCGCCTCCAGGAAAATTAGGTGTTGTGGTTCTAAAAGCTGTTTAATGCCATTACGCATTGCATAAAGGGAAAAAAAAATAAACAAGCAACCAGCGGTACCTCCCCATTCAGAAGATCATGAATGTCTCGAAAGCAAGACTAGAAAAATGGAATATTAAAAAGACTGAAATTTTGCTTCTCAATTCCTCGTTAGTACACTATTATTCGCGTTTTATCAGCCAATTACGATGTACTCTGGTCACCAAGAGAACAAGTTGCTGGACGGATAGTTGTTGGTGCAATATAGCCAACTGATGAACGTGAAAGTGGTATACGGAAACCAACGCAGATAAACTTCCCGAGAACCCTCCTTTAAGATAAGGAGTTCTCAGAGGCCTTAAATCAATTCCGACAGAACTCCGAGCCAGCATATAGACTTACCCCTGGTGACCGACCGACAAACTTGTGAGACACTGTGCTCTCGAATTCTCTTAACCTCTCAGGTGTAGTTTCTGATGTATCTACTACTGTTGAGTAAATCTCTCTGACTTGGTGACATGTGGGTTACTTGACTGTAGTGACCGCAAGGTCGGGTGCGACTCAGTTTCGATACTAAACTGGTGTGGGAACTCTTTGGGTCCGACTGGTACATGCAGTGCTCTGGGAATGTAACGTGTCTCTCGCTCAACAGTGATATTTGTTTTTCTCTTACCAAGGATAAATACCATCGGCTTGGGCAACGGACAAGCCTGCCGCC